TTATCTATGACATTACTTGAAATAGGTTTTTCAGTATCAGTTCCTCATTTCGGCTGAAGAGAAGTTAAATATATTTGGTTTAAATACACTCTGGTTACACAGACCTGTGATAGGCATGATCATGAGACTTACTTTTCATTAAAGTCGATATGAATTATTTACATGGTTGTATTACAGGACTTTTACACTTGATACACGACAGAAACAATAAACAACGGCTTAGGTGCACAAAGTTGATGCGCACCTACCGTCAAAACAATAAACTCAAACTGTTTGCAATTCACCTGTTCAGCCACAAGATGGAGGCAGTGTTTTATGTACCTCATAGCTTTTAAGTACACTACATGGCCAAAAGTATGTGGAGACCTGCTCGTCGAACATCTCATTCCAAAATCATGAGCATTAATATGGAATTGGTCCCCCCTTTGCTGCTATAACAGTCTCCACTCTTCTGGGAAGGCTTTCCACTAGATGTTGGAACATTGCTGTGGGGACTTGCTTCCATTCAGCCACAAGAGCATTAGTGAGGTCGAGCATTGATGTTGGGCGATTAGACCTGGCTCGCAGTCGGTGTTCCAATTCATCCCAAAGGTGTTTGATGGGGTTGAGGTCAGATTCTTCCGTCGGACTGCCAGATGGTGAAGCGTGATTCATCACTCCAGAGAACGCGTTTCCACTGCTCCAGAGTCCAATGGCGGTGAGCTTTACACCACTCCAGCTGACACTTTGCATTGTGCATGGTGATCTTAGGTTTGTGTGCGGCTGCTCGGCCATGGAAACCCATTTCATGAAGCTCCCGACAAATAGATATTGTTCTGATGTTGCTTCCAGAGGTAGTTTGGAACTCGGTAGTGACTTTTGCAACCGAGGACAGACGATTTTTACGCACTACGCACTTCAGCATTCGGCGATCCCGTTCTGTGAGCTTGTGTGGCCTACCACTTCACAGCTGAGCCGTTGTTGCTCCTAGACATTTACACTTCATAATAACAGCACTTACAGTTGACCGGGGCAGTTCTAGCAGGGCAGAAATTTGACAAAATGACTTGTTGGAAAGGTGGCATCCTATGACAGTGCCACGTTGAAAGTCAATGAGCTCTTCAGTACGGGCCATTTTACTGTTTTGGCTATGGAGATTGCGTGGCTGTGTCCTTGATTGTATACACCTGTCAGCAACAGGTGTGGCTGAAATAGCCGAATCCACCAATTTTAAGGCGTGTCCACATACTTTTGACCATGTAGTGTAACTGTCTCCAGTGAAAATCATATTCTGTTAACTCAAACCCAAATAATGTTGTTGACTTGTCTTATACTCCTATTTGTAGCCAAATCATAAACTGGAGAAAAAACACTTCAAAACCCCACCTCAAACCTGTATCTCAAACAGACCGTTTCAAAAAAATGCTTGCTTTTTCTTTATAGAGAATGTCCTCCTGCCTCATTGGCTGAGCTGGCCAATCAGCTAAAAGTATTTCACTCATATTGTAATTAATTATAGGTCATATTTGATAGAAATCTGGAAACACTGGACAGTTACTTTAACATCTCCACTAATAACAATGTTATTCTTAATCAATGATATTGTTGTTGTTTATGATGGTCTCCTGAGGTGAGCGTTTACGGCCATTGATGCTGTTCAAACTTGCATTATGTTGACAGGCATGTAGCCGGTGAGTAACAGCCAGACATCTAAACAGCTGCCAAACACAGGGTCAGCTCAAGGTTTCTGCATCCCTCATTCAGTAGGAAAGCTGCTCCTAGCTCTCTCTTTCTCCCCCCCCCCCCACCCCCCACCCCCATCTCCTTTTATGTCTGCCAGCCAATGTCAGTACAGTAGACAGTATGACCCCTCCTCCCCTCATAATGTTTACTACCTACACTGCTGAAAAAGAGAGTGAGTGTGAGAGTGTGTGATTTTTACTGGGGGCTGGAACAGGGTGTATAGGGAGGTCATAACAATTTCAAGGGCATGGTAGTAGTCTGCCCCCGCTGGAAGGGAGTCAGGATATAGGCTGGCAACAGTTCTGGCTGTCTGTGGATTGAGCTTTTCATTCCCACACAGTCTCCTGCTAGTCTGTACAAGTGCTAGTTGACACAGAGCTGCTGCAATGGTCCACAGTTCCCCAGAGAGTCTATAACACAATGTTTGAGAACATCCCCCCTCTCTCTGTCTGCCTCTCTTTCGCTCTATGCATTGGGAGCTGATAGTCTACAGTACATGTCTTGGATTTTAATAAGGTGCAAATCAGTGGTGGCACTTTACATGGGGAGGACAAGCTCATAGTAATGGCTGGAACAGAATGAATGGAATGGTATCAAACGCCTGCTTTTCCATGTGTTGGATACCATTCCATTCACTCCATTATTATGAGCTGTCCTCCCCTCACCAGTCTACTCTGGTGCAAATATCGATACTATCTCTTTCCAAGTGTGCATATGGCTCTAGACCCTAAAATGCCTTTTCCAATTATCTCTCTCCTCTTTGCTTTGCTCCTGTTGCTCTCATGTTGCCACCCACTCACATACCACTGGTGTGCAGCAGGAGGCTATAGAATAATACATCATCTGGAGTAAGACAAAGGGCCACTGAAAATATGATTGGATTCTGCCAATCTTTCCCATACCCATTAATTTGGGATTGAAGCCTGCTGATTTCTTATCATGCATAGCGATATTTACAGGACATATGGTGTGTATTAAGGAATCCGTTTCGATTGAGATCATTGACTGTATGAGGCATGGAAACATCTGACAAACTTATGATAAAAGCGGTTTTGGGGTGAGCTATCTGCTCCATAAAGTTATACTGTTGCTAGGTACTTTGTTCTGTATGACCTGAACAGCCCTTTACACACTGGGACTGTCTGGTCATATTATTAGGTTGGCCACCTCTCTCTTGTGTTCCCAGCCAAGATCAACCATTAGCATTATAGTCCGTTTTCGCCGTTGCCTATATGGACCAGGTATTATCATAGATGTATGGTTATGGTAGGCAGGGGTGAAGTGCTGCTGGAGCGCTTTTTCAATTTGAAAATACACGGAGCAGATAAAAAATATTTCTGGAAAATTATTTCTGAAGCTGAATCAATGTCCCGCACGATCACATAATGACTAAATAGTATTGTACATTATGTCATATTAGGCCCATACCGATACTGTTACACCAAAAACACCTCCTAATTTCTAGTGGGATTTTAGGATGGTTAGCTGAAACATTTTCTCATGCGGCCAAAACTCAGCAAGCGCGCGCCATAAAAAAAATAAAAAAAATAAAAATAAAATCTCACTTTTAAAAGTTCATATTCTGTTAACTCAAACCCAAATAATGTTGTTGACTTGTCTTATACTCCTATTTGTAGCCAAATCATAAACTGGAGAAAAAACACTTCAAAACCCCACCTCAAACCTGTATCTCAAACAGACCGTTTCAAAAAAAATGCTTGCTTTTTCCTTATAGAGAATGTCCTCCTGCCTCATTGGCTGAGCTGGCCAATCAGCTAAAAATATTTCACTCATATTGTAATTAATTATAGGTCATATTTGATAGAAATCTGGAAACACTGGACAGTTACTTTAACATCTCACTAATAACAATGTTATTCTTAATCAATGATATTGTTGTTAAAAAATAAAATAAAATAAAATGTCGCCTATACTTTGACTGAAACAAAATACAAGAGAGGCTAATAAGTTGTTAACACCATCTGCTCCAATTTGCTCACAAAACAGTAATTCAAGAATATTCCTATGAAACTGATTGAGATCATATGATTGGCATACAGACGCAGTTTGGACATCTCACCAGTAAAAGGTGAAGTGAGATGAGATATGCCTAACTTAGTGTTTGAGGGTATTAAACATATACACTTTTCTTGAGACAATATGTGTGGGCATAGACAGACGTTGCAATTGGAGGATGTATTTTATGCAGATTCTATAGTCTAATAATATTCAATAGGCTACATCTGTCGGTACAAACTTTGATTGAGAAATTATGACTTCATTAACTTTTTTTGTTGCGCTCCCGCACCTAAAAAAAATGACACTACACGAAGTATTCACTCCATCCCTGTATGTAAGGCAGGTATGGATGCACCTTAACAGAGACGCACAGGCGCAAATAGTTTCCCTCTGATAATCATGGTCAAATGGGCAATAATCCTCAAGGACACATGTACAATTGTGCTACTGTAAATTAACTCACCGATTTATAATTTGTCGTAAGGAATGACGATTTGAAGTTATTACTTAGTCAGCTTCATCCTATGAAACGGATTCCCACTCCTCCCCTTCACTGCTCATAGCCTGTGAATATTTATTTGGGTGTTTTAAATGAATCTGCACCCTGGAGGGTGATTTTATTTTTAAAGATAGAAATACCTTAACAACTTATAGCTCAAGCACAACCGACTTCTCACGGAGTCTTGTCTCAGAAGGGGTGTATTTTAAGACCTGCTCGATAATGAGCAGCACCACCGGCGTCGCGCGGTGCAATAAATATCTTCCGCGCTCGTCCCTATATTATACCGTCCTCAATGGCTCTTCCCCTAAAAAAATAACTGGGTGTCGGTAATTGGAAGTTTGGACCTGCATCCTGATGTAGGCTAGGCTATGTCATACCTTTTCCATCTAATTCTACAAGGGCATTTCACTGATAATTATGAATGTAGGCCACTTTGGTTTATGCCTGTAGGCCATTGTAAATGTATAGTTTTTCTCTTCACTCCCACTAGCCAAACAAAACGTATATAAATTGTAAATCTGCTTGAACATATAGACATTGTATGACCAGGTAGATTAACCACCACCACCCATAGGCTAATCATCACACTTGAAGCTCATTTTAATCGAGGCTAGAAGGCTCTATCACGTTCCGAGATGCAGTCTTGTTCGCGCCTATCTTCAGCGCAACTCAAGAAAAGTGAACCAGTGACTTTGCTAGAATAACTAAAGGAAGGGAAAACATCGGAGTGGGTGAGTATCTCTAGTCTTGTGCATTAATGAGTCTCGGAGCTCTGACTCAGAGCGCACGGAGAATGGGCGCCCCACAGCTCTGGGTACGGTTGGAATGGATAAAAACAGACCGGGCAACTTTTACCTTCCAACGGACGGATTACGCGATGGCACCTAATGCATCCTGCGCTGGAACAGCCTAACAGGTAGGACTGTCTGTTTGTGGCGCACACATAATAAACATGATAGGTTTAGATACAAGTTGGAACTGTTATGGTCGCCTGCCGACTTATTCTGATGCATTTAACCGTTTTACTTCCAGCATTTATTTGGGTGTTTATTTATTCTAGCCCAATCTACTTGATGTATGACTTTCAGTGATGTTTTCTTTTTATGCCGACTATTACCAATTTTTGAATTACTGTGGTCCATTTGGCCATATCATTTGGCCATGCATGTTGGCTTGATATACTCGTCACGCGTAATTGTGGTTTAGGTGTCAGGGACTGACCCCAATCTCACGAGAGGCATATCGAAGGTGTAGGCTACCTTTCGCGCGGAATTCTATGGGTTCGACATTAATTTCTCCTATGAAGTGTGCATAAGAGGATGTCCTGACAGGATGTCCTGACAGCAGGGAGGATTTATCAGATAAGCATAAATAATTTGAAGAACCGCAGGTGCAAGATAGCATCTCCAAATTAAGTTGGACAGCCAAAGTGATTATAATTGATAACTGCATATTTCAGTGATAATGACTAACTAGGAGTCAGTCATTGTGATAGGCTATCTGAATACCTTCTAACACCATACTTTTTTATTACCAGGTTACATATAGAATGTCTATTAGCAATGTATTCATGGATGAATACATTTGATGCCTAATGCTCTGTCAGTCCAGTTAATTTTCTCATGTGAAAACATTTATGTAAATGTAGTTTTGGTAGTTTGTTTTGGCAGTGTGTGGAGCTGTGTGAGGGAGGTGGGGGGTTTTGCTTCATGTTCAAGTACATTGTATACAACCAGAGCCATCATCAGGACAAACAAGCACTGCCTGTTCCAAAGCACTACGTGTGTGTGTGTGTGTGTGTGTGTGTGTGTGTGTGTGTGTGTGTGTGTGTGTGTGCAGGCATTCGTGTGTGTGTGCGCACATGTGTGTGAGAAAGAGACACACACACACACTCTGCCAAAACATTTGTGTCTTTTTTCCTTGTCTTCAACGCATGCAGACCCACGCTGCATTGTCAATCCCGGGTCCCGTGATAGAGGTGTTTATTATCCGAGGGCAGTAAGTGTGCAGCACCAGTTACCATGCGCACTCTTAATTCACCATGTCTCCGTGCAGATGGAAGATATCCCTCCCTCTAGACTCTGTTTGGGTCTGTTCTGTCACTGCATAGGATCAATTACTAGACAGGATCAAGGACTAGACTGAGTCAAGGACTAGACAGGATCAAGGACTAGACCGAGTCAAGGACTAGACAGGATCAATGACTAAACTGGATCAATGACTAGACCAGGGCAAGGACTAGACAGGATCCAGGAATAGACAGGTTCAATGACTAGACAGGATCAAGGACTAAACAGGATCAATAACTAGACAGGATCCAGGACTAGACATGGTCAAGGACTAGACATGATCAAGGACTAAACAGGATCAAGGACTAGACATGGTAAAGGACTAGATAGGATCAAGGACTAAACAGGGATAGAGAGAAGATAGAGCATGAGGGAATCGAGAATATACAATACCTTCAGAAAGTATTCACACCCCTTTACTTTTTCCACATTTTGTTGTGTTACAGCTTGAATTAAGAATGGATTCAATTGAGATTTTGTGTCACTGATCTACACACAATACCCCATAATGTCAAAGTGGAATTTTGTTTGTATAATTTTTTTGAAATTAATAGAACAAATAAAAACTGAAATGTCTTGAGTCAATAAGTGTTCAACCTCTTTGTTATGACAAGCCTAAATATGTTCAGGAGTAAAAATGTGCTTAACAAATCACATAATAAATTGCATGGACTCATTCCGTGTAAAAAAATAGTGGTTAACATAAATTTTTAACTACCACATCTCTGTACCCCACACATACAGTTATCTGTAAGGTCCCTCAATCGAGTAGTGAATTTCAACCACAAAGACCAGGGAGGTTTTTCAATGCCTTTCAAAGAAGGGCACCGATTGGTAGATGTGTAAAAAAAAAATGACACTGAATATCTCTTGGAGCGTGGTGAAGTTATTAATTAGGCTTTGGATGGTGTATCAATACACTCAGTCACTACAAAGTTACAGCTGTCCTTCCTAACTCAGTAGCCGGAGAGGAAGGAAACGCTCAGGGATTTCATCATGAGGCTAATGGTGATTTTAAAACAGTTACAGAGTTTAATGGTTGTTATATGACAAAACTGAGAATGGATCAACAACATTGTAGTTACTCCACAATACTAACCTAAATTACATAGTGAAATGAAGGAAGCCTGTACAGAATAAAAATATTCCAAAACATGCATCCTGTTTGCAACAAGGGATTTAAGTAATACTGCACAAAATGTAGCAAAGAAATTAACTTTTTATCCTGAATACAAAGCGTTATGTTTGGGGCAAATCAACACAACACATCACTGTGTACCTCTGTTCATATTTTCAAGCATGGTGGTGGCTGCGTTATGTTATGGGTATGCTTGTCATCGGCAAGGACTAGGGAGTTTTTCAGGATTAAAAGAAACGGAACACAGCAATAAGCACAGGCAAAATCCTAGAGGAAAACCTGATTCAGTTTGCTTTCCAACAGACACTGGGAGACAAATTCACCTTTCAGCAGGACAATAACCTAAAACACAAGGCCAAATCTACACTGGAGTTGCTTTCCAAGACGACATTGAATGTTCCTGAGTGGCCTAGTTACAGTTTCGACTTAAATTGGTTTGAAAATCTATGGCAAGACTTAAAAATGACTGTCTAGCAATGATCAACAATCAACTTGACAGAGCTTGAATAATTTATAAAATAAAAATTAGCAAATATTGTACAATCCAAGTGTGCAAAGCTCTTAGAGACTTACCCCAAAAGGCTCACAGTTGTAATCGCCGCCAAAGGTGCTTCTACCAAGTACTGACTCAGTTAAGGGGTGTGAATACTTTCTGAAGTCACTGTGCATGAGTAGTATCAGGAAGTAGAAAGTAGATATAGAAGGATAGAGAGTAAATGTTGAGGGAATAGAGAGGGTTTGAGAATAGAGCTGAGTCCATATTACAGCTGTAGAGAAGGGGAGACACAGGAGTGAGTCTGGGACAACCAGGTTAGTATGGTGGGGAGTAGTGGGAGCTCTGTGGGACAATGAAACAGGAGAAGAGAGGATGTGAAAGGAGGGGAGGATAGGAAAGGAAGGGAGGGGAGACAAGAGAAGGGGAGAGGAGTACCACTTGTACCTGGCCATTGTCCACTCCCCCTGCTGATCTGAAAGGTCTGGATAGGATAAATTAATATAGCTGAAAGGTCTTTATAGGTTAACTGAATCTACCTACCGCAGAGCCAGGTACAAATGTCAGGCATTGCATAACAAAGGTACTTTATGCTTGGAGCGGGGACTTGGACTGCACAGGTGTAGGCATTATCATTTTGCTGATACCTGGAGTCCAGCCATGAATAGGAGAAGGGTAAGCAGAATTGATGGAGAGAAGTGGGTGAAGGGATGGAGATAGGGAGGGATGATGACAGGTACCAAAGCCAGAGATAGAAAGAAAGAGAGAGAGAGAGAGAGAGAGAGAGAGAGAGAGAGAGAGAGAGAGAGAGAGAGAGAGAGAGAGAGAGAGAGGACTCAGACAACTCAAAACACCAGCTACAGAGTTATTAGCGCTCTCTGATGGAGAGGGTTTACCGTAACAGGCCAAAGGCAATAATCAATGACATGACTGCATTAGATTAACATGTTTCAATTTAGCATTGTAGCCATTTAATAAAAGCCATAATCCACAGCTATTTACTGTAAGTGAGTGGGTGCCTTCAATGAGGGGATGACTGGGAAAAATCCTCATATTAAAAAGTCAATACTGTTGCAATAAGATTAAATTGATAATCGTGCCAACAGACTTTGGGTCTGCTGCAGTGCTCTCTGTTGCAGTGCTCTCTGTTGCAATGCTCTCTGTTGCAGTGCTCTCTGATGCAGTGCTCTCTGTTGCAGTGCTCTCTGTTGCAGTGCTCTCTGCTGCAGTGCTCTCTATTGCAGTGCTCTCTGTTACAGTGCTCTCTGTTGCAGTGCTCTCTGTTACAGTGCTCTCTGTTGCAGTGCTTTCTGTTACAGTGCTCTCTGCTGCAGTGCTCTCTGTTACAGTGCTCTCTGCTGCAGTGCTCTCTGTTGCAGTGCTCTTTGCTGCAGTGCTCTCTGTTGCAGTGCTCTCTGTTGCAGTGCTCTTTGTTACAGTGCTCTCTGTTGCAGTGCTTCAGCAGAAAACAGTAACTTCTAGCAGCCTTCATCAGATTCACATCCACGACATTAAGCTGTAAGTCCTCCGGTAATATAAAGTGAATAATGACAGGGACACGTTTTATTGTAAAGACTGAGAACTCATTTATTTTGGCATTAAGACAAGCCAGTAGAATTTCTGCTGGGAGTCTGAGAGAACATCACTCCGTCTCCAGCCCTCCGACCCTGACCCTGAACTCGCTGCAGGATATTGTGTTTTGTGTTTGTGGCGATTGCCTCACTGTGTAGGTGACACTATTATAAATGTGAGGGAGGGATAGCGTGTACCGAATGGGGAATGGTTGTCATATATATGTGCTCAATATTGTATATTCATCTTGGTCATGGGGATGTATCAGATTAGATGTGCATGTGACTCAGGGTTTCCCTATGAGGATTGTGTGTTGTATGGATGGATCTTTCTCTTAGTGGTTGTCATGTGATAGATATCAGCTCCATCTCTGTCCCTCTCTCCCATGCAGGTCTCTCACCCAGCCCCTCTCTCATGTCACCGGGACATCTCCATGGCGATGTTTAGCGGCTCTGAACGCTTCTTCTGGAATGACTCGGAACAGGTTCCGGAAGACCTCCCCCTCCAGCGGAATTCCTCTGGTGGTTGGGAGGAGGAGGATACGGAGCGTAACTACTACGCCATGCTGTACTCCCTACTCATCCTGGCCATCGTGTTCGGCAACGTGCTGGTGTGTCTGGCTGTGGTGCGGGAGAGGTCCCTACAGACCACCACTAACTACCTGGTGGTGAGCCTGGCTGTAGCTGACCTGCTGGTGGCCTCACTGGTCATGCCCTGGGCTGTATACCTGGAGGTGAGGGTCCACTGGGTAGGGGGGTGGGGTGGGGACGTGCGGACAGGGATGGGTTGGGTTGGGGAGGGAGGGTATTTGGAGGTGAGGGTCGACCTGTGTGGGGGACCAGGGATGGGTTGGGGATGGAGGGTATTTGGAGGAAAAGCAGGTTGGGACCAGGGATGGTGGTGGTCTTGCCAACTCCTATTGTTATGGCCATAGGACCATAGGAGTTGGTCAGCATAAACAGATCTGGGACTGTTTGTTGGGAATGTCTGTTGGGAATGTTAATGGCTGGGATGTTTTTCTTAGTCAGGTCACAGGGTCAGGAAAAACTCATCAGACCTACACTACCGGTCAACATTTTTAGAACACCTACTCATTCAAGGGTTTTTCTTTATTTTTACTATTTTCTACATTGTAGAATAATAGTGAAGATATCAAAACTATGAAATAACACATATGGAATCATGTAGTAACCAAAAAAGTGTTAAACAAATCGAAATATATATTATATTTGAGAATCTTCAAAAAGCCACCCTTTGCCTTGATGACAGCTTTGCACACTCTTGGCATTCTCTCAACCAGCGTCATGAGGTAGTCACCTGGAATCCATTTCAATGAACAGGTATGCCTTCTTAAAAGTTAATTTGTGGAATTTATTTCCTTCTTAATGTGTTTAAGCCAATCAGTTGTGTTGTGACAAGGTGTGTGTGTGGGGGGGGGTATACAGAAGATAGCCCTATTTGGTAAAATACCAAGTCCATATTATGGCAAGAACAGCTCAAATAAGCAAAGAGAAATGACAGTCCATCATTACTTTAAGATATGAAGGTCAGTCAATACGGAACATTTCAAGGTCAGTCAATACGGAACGTTTTTGCAGTCGCAAAAACCATCAAGCGCTATGATGAAACTGGCTCACATGAGGCCCGCCACAGGAATGGGAGACCCAGAGTTACCTCTGCTGCAGAGGATACGTTTATTAGAGTTACCAGCCTCAGAAATGGCAGTCCAAATAAATGCTTCACAGAGTTCAAGTAACAGACACATCTCAACATCAACTGTTTAGAGGAGACTGTGTGAATCAGGCCTTCATGGTCGAATTGCTGCAAAGAAACTACTACTATAGGACACCAATAAGAAGAAGAGACTTGCTTGGGGCAAAAAACACAAGCAATGGACATTAGACCGGTGGAAATGTGTCCTTTGGTCTGGAGTCCAAATTGGAGATGATTGGTTCCAACCGCTGTGTCTTTGTGAGACGCGGTGTGGGTGAATGGATGATCTCTGCATGTGTATTTCCCACCGTAAAGCATGGAGGAGGAGGTGTTATGGTGTGGGGGTGCTTTGCTGGTGACACTGTCTGTGATTTATTTAGAATTCAAGGCAAACTTAACCAGCATGGCTACCACAACCTTCTGCAGTGATACACCATTCCATCTGGTTTGGGCTTAGTGGGACTATCATTTGTTTTTCAACAGGACAATGACCCAACACACCTCCAGGCTGTGTAAGGGCTATTTTACCAAGAAGGAGAGTGATGGAGTGCTGCATCAGTTGACCTGTCCTCCACAATCCCCCGACCTCAACCCAATTGAGTGGTTTACATTTACATTTTAGTCATTTAGCAGACGCTCTTATCCAGAGCGACAAAACACACGGCCAAGGCAACAAAGGAGTGGCTCAAGAAGAAGCAAATTAAGGTCCTGGTGTGGCCTAGCCAGTCTCCAGACCTAAATCCCATAGAAAAATCTGTAGAGGGAGCTGAAGGTTCGAGTTGCCAAACGTCAGCCTCGAAACCTTAATGACTTGGAGAAGATCTGCAAAGAGGAGTGGGACAAAATCCCTCCTGAGATGTGTGCAAACCTGGTGGCCAACTACAAGAAACGTCTGACCTCTGTGATTGCCAACAAGGGTTTTGCCACCAAGTACTAAGTCATGTTTTGCAGAGGGGTCAAATACTTATTTCCCTCTTAAAATGCAAATCAATTTATAAAATTTTAGACGTGCGTTTTTCTGGATTTTTTTGTTGTTATTCTGTCTCTCACTGTTCAAATAAACCTACCATTAAAATGATAGACTGATCATTTCTTTGTCAGTGGGTAAACGTACAAAATCAGCAGGGGATCAAATACTTTTTTCCCTCACTGTATATGTGCCCTCTGTTCCCCATTGTCCTTGTCCATTATTGTCCCATGTCCGTTTTTCTCCTGAGTACCGTGTATTGTGCTCTGGTTTTTTACGGGTCTCGTCCCGTGTAGAGGTTACACCTCGCTCTTTGTTTGGGATACATCCCTTTGGTATATATATACGTGTTTGTGTTGGGTGGAGTAATAAAACCCCTAATACCTATTCCTGCGCCTGTCTTCTAATCATTATACAACGTGACAAAACTACTGAAAGAGAGACAGTTTGGGACAATGGATGGCTTTGGGATTGAGAGGAGGGGAGAGGATGTGTTCACTTTGAGTTTTCATTATTTTCAAGGAAGATGCATGTGAGAGATGGAGGAAGGATAAGGGCAGGGAGATGGTCATGTTATTACTTTGGGATTCTCCCTCATGGGGTGTGAGAGAGTGTGGTGATGCATTCTGGGACTGTGAGTGGGTGGAAGATATTGATGTCTATTGCTTATAATAATGTTTTATCTTATATTTCTAAATGCTCCACATAATTGTCCCTTGTGGGAAGTCTTATTGAAATGAATTTAGAGAAGTATCGTCAGTGGGGGTTGATTCGTCCATTAGATATAATTATTGTCTGGGGGAACTGGAGGAGGTAGAAGTGTTGATGTGTTCATTTTGAATTTGTTTGAATCGTTGGTCATGATTCCATTCAGGGTCGGGCGAGAGGCACAGTGTGCTATTGCAAACTCAACTCACGACGCTGCACCTAAGGCCTGAACCAGTGTCAGATTCCTCTATAACCTCAACCATGTGGAGTTGAGAAAATATACATTATGAGAGTTAAGTGAAAATAGTGCACAGTGAGAGCTGTTTGGGTTCCATGACAATCAACAGTGTCATAGTGAGAAGCAGACACAAGCCTGGCTCATAGAGAGTATTTCATCCAAATTACCTCAGTAGCTAACTTACTGCTTTGGCCAAGTGCCAATTATTCAATGCAAAGTAGATCATCAGATTCTAATAATATGTCCTCAACTTTATTTGTCCACCTATTAGTATTAGGGCTAAAACATGCCATCATTAGATACATCCCACATAAATCCAGTCACACTACAGACGCAGATGATGGTCCTGTCTGTCTTGTACGCTGATAGGGAATGCCATAGTCGTAGAGGTCACATTAGTGATGATATGCAGAGAGCAGACAGCTCTGAGCCATACAGTATGTTCATGTCTGGAAGAGGGAGCCTGATGTAGGGTGTCTCACTGGAACCCATTAGAGGATAGGAAGGATGCATGTGGATGGGGGGGGGGGGGGGGGGGGGGGATGCCTGTGTGTGTGTTCCCATCTAAGGCCAGGAGATCCAGCAGTCAGGCGCTGCAGCTCAGAACACATGTATCTCTGTCAGACAGTTGATATCACGTATTATAGAACTTAAGGGAAGGCATGTCTGAGCAGTGCTATCTGTCTGGGTAAGGTGGGCTGGAACTGGGAGTGTGTAATTGTACTTTCATTTACATTACATTTACGTCATTTAGCAGACGCTCTTATCCAGAGCGACTTACAAATAGGTGCATTCACCTTATAGCCAGTGGGATAACCACTTTAGAATGTTATTATTATTATTTTTTTTTGGGGGGGGGGGGGGGGGGGGGGGGTAGAAGGATTACTTTATCCTATCCCAGGTATTCCTTAAAGAGGTGGGGTTTCAAATGTCTCCGGAAGGTGGTGAGTGACTCCGCTGTCCTAGCGTCGTGAGGGAGCTTGTTCCACCATTGGGGTGCCAGAGCAGCGAACAGTTTTGACTGGGCTGAGCGGGAACTATGATTCCGCAGAGATAGGGGAGCCAGCAGGCCAGAGGTGGATGAACGCAGTGCCCTCGTTTGGGTGTAGGGACTGATCAGAGCCTGAAGGTACGGAGGTGCCGTTCCCCTCACAGCTCCGTAGGCAAGCACCATGGTCTTGTAGCAGATGCGAGCTTCAACTGGAAGCCAGTGGAGTGTGCGGAGGAGCGGGGTGACGTGAGAGAACTTGGGAAGGTTGAACACCAGACGGGCTGCGGCATTCTGGATGAGTTGTAGGGGTTTAATGGCACAGGCAGGGAGCCCAGCCAACAGCGAGTTGCAGTAATCCAGACGGGAGATGACAAGTGCCTGGATTAGGACCTGTGCCGCTTCCTGTGTAAGGCAGGGTCGTACTCTCCAAATGTTGTAGAGCATGAACCTACAGGATCGGGTCACCGCCTTGATGTTAGCGGAGAATGACAGGGTGTTGTCCAGGGTCACGCCAAGGCTCTTCGCACTCTGGGAGGAGGACACAACGGAGTTGTCAACCGTGATGGCGAGATCATGGAACGGGCAGTCCTTCCCCGGGAGGAAGAGCAGCTCCGTCTTGCCGAGGTTCAGCTTGAGGTGGTGATCCGTCATCCATACTGATATATCTGCCAGACATGCAGAGATGCGATTCGCCACCTGGTTATCAGAAGGGGGAAAGGAGAAGATTAGTTGTGTGTCGTCAGCGTAGCAATGATAGGAGAGGCCATGTGAGGATATGACAGAGCCAAGTGACTTGGTGTATAGCGAGAATAGGAGAGGGCCTAGAACTGAGCCCTGGGGGACACCAGTGGTGAGAGCACGTGGTGCGGAGACAGCTTCTCGCCACGCCACTTGGTAGGAGCGACCGGTCAGGTAGGACGCAATCCAAGAGTGAGCCGCGCCGGAGATGCCCAGCTCGGAGAGGGTGGAGAGGAGGATCTGATGGTTCACAGTATCAAAGGCAGCAGACAGGTCTAGAAGGACAAGAGCAGAGGAGAGAGAGTTAGCTTTAGCAGTGCGGAGAGCCTGTGTGACACAGAGAAGAGCAGTCTCAGTTGAATGACCAGTCTTGAAACCTGACTGGTTTGGATCAAGAAGGTCATTCTGAGAGAGATAGCAAGAGAGTTGGCTAAAGAAGGCACGCTCAATAGTTTTGGAGAGAAAAGAAAGAAGGGATACTGGTCTGTAGTTGTTGACATGGAGGGAGAAGGATTGAGCAGAGGGAAGAGATGATAGGATGGAAGAGGAGAGAGTAGCGGGAGAGAGAGAGCGAAGGTTGCGACGGCGCATTACCATCTGTGTAGGGGCAGAGCGAGCAGTGTTGGAGGAGAGGGAGAGAGAAAAGGATACAAAGTAGTGGTCGGAGACTTGGAGGGGAGTTGCAGTGAGATTAGTAGAAGAACAGCATCTAGTGAAGATGAGGTCAAGCGTATTGCCTGCCTTGTGAGTAGGGGGGGACTGTGAGAGGGTGAGGTCAAAAGAGGAGAGGAGTGGAAAGAAGGAGGCAGAGAGAAATGAGTCAAATGTAGACGTAGGGAGGTTGAAATCCCCCAGAACTGTGAGGGGTGAGCCATCCTCAGGAAAGGAACTTATCAAGGCGTCAAGCTCATTGATGAACTCTCCAAGGGAACCTGGAGGGCGATAGATGACAAGGATATTAAGCTTAAATGGGCTAGTGACTGTGACAGCATGGAATTCAAATGAGGAGACAGACAGATGGGTCAGGGGAAAAATTGAGAATGTCCACTTGGGAGAGATGAGGATTCCTGTGCCACCACCCCGCTGACCAGATGCTCTCGGGGTATGCGAGAACACATGGTCAGACGAGGAGAGAGCAGCAGGAGTAGCAGTGTTTTCAGTGGTAATCCATGTTTCCGTCAGCGCCAAGAAGTCGAGGGACTGGAGGGTAGCATAGGCTGGGATGAAGTCTGCCTTGTTGGCAGCAGAACGGCAGTTCCAGAGGCTGCCTGAGACCTGGAACTCCACGTGGGTCGTGCGTGCAGGGACCACCAGGTTAGAGAGGCAGCAATCACGCGGTGTGAGGCGTTTGTGTAGCCTGTGCGGAGAGGAGAGAACAGGGATAGGCAGAGGCATAGTTGACAGGCTGCAGCAGATGGCTACAATAATGCAGAGGAGATCGGAATAAAATGAACTAAACATCTGGGAAAGGAGAGAGCGGGGCCTCCCTCACCACAACTCCCAAATATAACTCTCCCAACTTCCACCTCAGAAACTATAATTGTTGTAAACTACAGCGGTTCAATGTTTTCTAGGAATAGACTAACCTAGTTTATTCAGCTAGCTAACTAGGTGCAGTATTATTCAGTGAAAAACGTCCGGGCACCTCGTCATAAGACGCCACAGCCAGCTAGCATGCTGGTCTCCAACAGCAGGGTTTAGCGCCAATACTCAGCCACAACAACCACCAGTGTATCAACACACAAGCAGATCGTCCGTGTCTAACATTGTGGGTTAGTCCCGACAGCTTGAGCGAGTCCGTCGTCAACTTATTCAGCCAGTTAGTTAGCTAGAATAGTTAGCAAACTAGCTAGCCATTGCTTTCAGACAAAGAAGAACCCCTCCTTTCACGGCACGAACACACAGAGAGAGCCAAACTAACGTTAACTAGTCACCCATGTCCCGAATTCCTTGAGCGACTCGGGCTATCAATATGTAAAAAACAAAACACAAGTGTAGGTTATGACTTACCCCTAGCAGCTACTGTTAGCTAGCCAAGTGCAAAGCTAGCCACTGAATTGACTCAGCCAGTTCGCGTCTGTTCGCTCGGTCGTTCCAGCTATTGTTTACTAGTAGCTATCCAGGTTGCAACAAGCTTGCTAATTTTCGAGCACAGTAGCCACTTGCTGCCTAACGTTAACGGTTCAGACAATGAGGTTAGAAAACAGCTGAATGGTAGGCAATTATTGTACGTAATTATTGTAGGCAGCCAGCTGGCGTAATTACAGGCACTCTCAGGCGTGAAACAACTATACCGTTGCTAATAGCTACTCGCCAGCTAGTAGTGAATGTGGGGGCATAATTGGACTCTGTGTGTGAGGGTTCGATCATGTTGTATTGTGGAGGGAGAAGAATTGGTGTGTGTGTGAGAGAGAGAGGGAGAGAGAGATAGAGAGAGAGCAAGAGAGAGAGCAAGAGAGAGAGAGAGAATAATATATTTGATGTGTGTGTGTTGATTATGAATGATGATGATTGATATTGATGATCAATCAATCAATCAAAATGATTTATGAAGCCCTTTTTACATCAGCAGATGTCACAAAGTGCTATACAGAAACCCAGCCTAAAACCCCAAACAGCAAGCAATGCAGATGTAGAAGCACGGTGGCTAGGAAAAACTCCCTAGAAAGGCAGGAACCTAGGAAGAAACCTAGAAAGGAACCAGGCTCTGAGGGGTGGCCAGTCCTCTTCTGGCTGTGCCGGGTGGAGATTATAAGAGTACATGGCCATTTAAGGCCAGATTGTTCTTCAAGATGTTCAAATGTTCATAGATGACCAGCAGGGTCAAATAATAATCACAGTGGTTGTAGAGGGTGCAACAGGTCAGTACCTCAGGAGTGAATGTCACTTGGCTTTTCGTAGCCGAGGATTCAGAGGTCGAGACAGCAGGTGCGGTAGGGAGAGAGAGTCGAAAACAGCAAGTCCGGTACAAGGTAGCACGTCCGGTGAACAGGTCAGGGTTTCCTAGCTGCAGGCAGAACAGTTGAAACTGGAGCAGCAGCACGACCAGGTGGACTGGGGACAGCCAGGAGTCATCAGGCCAGGTAGTCCTGAGGCATGATCCTAGGGCTCAGGTCCTCTGGGAGGGGAGGTAGAGAGAGAATTAGAGGGAGCATACTTCCATTCACACAGGACACCAGATAATTACACCAGATATAACAGACTGACCCTAGCCCCCCGGCACATAGACTACTGCAGCATGGATACTGGAGACTGAGACAGGGGTGGGTCGGGGGACACTGTGGCCCCGTCCGACGATACGCCCGGACAGGGCCAACCAGGCAAGATATAACCCCACCCACTTTGCCAAAGCACAGCCCCCACACCACTAGAGGGATATCAACAGACCACCAACTTACTACCCTGAGACAAGGCTGAGTATAGCCCACGAAGATCTCCTCCACCGCACGAGCCCGAGGGGGCGCAAAACCGGACAAGAAGATCATGTCTGTGATTCAACCCACTCAAGTGACGCACCCCTCCTAGGGATGGCATGGAAGAGCACTAGTAAGCCAGTGACTCAGCACCCGTAATAGGGTCAGAGGCAGAGAATCCCAGTGGAGAGAGGGTGGCCGGCCAGGCAGAGACAGCAAGGGCAGTTCGTCGCTCCAGTGCCTTGTCATTCACCTTCGCACCCCTGGGCCAAACTACACTCAATCATAGGACTTACTGAAGAGATTAGTCTTCAGTAAAGACTTAAAGGTCGAGACCGAGTCTGCGTCTCTCACATGGATAGGCAGACCATTCCATAAAAATGGAGCTCTATAGGAGAAAGCCCTGCCTCCAGCTGTTTGCTTAGAAATTCTAGGGACAATAAGGAGGCCTGCGTCTTGTGACCGTAGCGTACGTGTAGGTAGGTACGGCAGGACCAAATCGGAGAGGTAGGTAGGAGTAAGCCCATGTAATGCTTTGTAGGTTAGCAGTAAAACCTTGAAATCAGCCCTAGCCTTAACAGGAGGCCAGCCAGAGGCTAGCACTGGAGTAATATGATCAAATGATGATGATGTTGATTATGAATGATGATGATTGATGTTGATTATGAATGATGATGATCGATGTTGATTATGAATGATGATGATTGATATTGATGATGAAAAATGTATGCACTCACAAACTGTAAGTCGCTCTGGATAAGAGCGTCTGCTAAATGACTAAAATGTAAAATGTAAATGATGATGATGATGATACTGATGATGATAATGATGATGATGATACTGATGAAGCTGTGTGAATGTGTCTGTCATGTGACCCTGTGTTACATGTCCAGGTGGTCGGAGGGGCGTGGCTCTTCAGCAGGATGTACTGTAACATCTTTGTCACCTTGGACGTCATGATGTGCACCGCTAGCATTCTCAACTTGTGTGCTATCAGCATCGACAGGTAAGAGGCTCTCTGTGTTTGTGTGTGTCTTTGTTTGTGTGTGTGTGAGAGTGCGTTCGTGTCTGAGTTTTCTTTTTGAAAGAGAAAGTGTGTGTTAAAGTGGGTATATACTTTTGGAGTGACTTAGGTGTTTTTGTGTGTGTGAACGTGTGTATATGGTAGACTTTCTATACAGTATTATTTGTCATTACTGCACCTCCAGTTGGCTTGATGCCATGTGGAGTTGTCAGGTTCAGAGAGCAGGTCTGCTTTCTCTTCAAGTGAGCCTTAAATATTTGATTGTAAACTTTCTCCCACGAGAGATATGGCCGTGATTACTGTTGATGTGCATCGGGTATGTACATTATTTATTTGCTTAGTTTTCCAGCTCATGTAATAGTTAATATTTAACAGCTCTTTAGCACAATATGCTTTTAACCATCAAAGAAATAGGAACTCAGCGGGCAGACCACTGTGTGTGTATGTGTGTGTGTGTTTGGAGAGTGAAAGCGTATGGTTATTCTCTGTATACAGAGAGGGAAAAAAGTATTTGATCCCCTGCTGATTTTGTATGTTTGCCCACTGACAAAGAAATGATCAGTCTATCATTTTAATGGTAGGTTTATTTGAACAGTGAGAGACAGAATAACAACAAAAAAATCCAGAAAAACGCATGTCAAAAATGTTATAAATTGATTTGCATTTTAATGAGGGAAATAAGTATTTGACCCCCTCTCATTCAGAAAGCTTTCTGGCTCCCAGGTGTCTTTTATACAGGTAACGAGCTGAGATTAGGAGCACACTCTTAAAGGGAGTGCTCCTAATCTCAGCTTGTTACCTGTATAAAAGACACCTGTCCACAGAAGCAATCAATCAATCAGATTCCAAACTCTCCACCATGGCCAAGACCAAAGAGCTTTCCAAGGATGTCAGGGACAAGATTGTAGACCTACACAAGGCTGGAATGGGCTACAAGACCATCGCCTAGCAGCTTGGTGAGAAGGTGACAACAGTTGGTGCGATTATTCACAAATGGAAGAAACACAAAAGAACTGTCAATCTCCCTCGGCCTGGAGCTCCATGCAAGATCTCATCTCGTGGAGTTGCAATGATCATGAGAACGGTGAGGAATCAGCCCAGAACTACACGGGAGGATATTGTCAATGATCTCAAGGCAGCTGGGACCATAGTCACCAAGAAAACAATTGGTAACACACTACGCCGTGAAGGACTGAAATCCTGCAGCAATCGGGCTCAAGAAAGCACATATACATGCCCGTCTGAAGATTACCAATGAACATCTGAATGATTCAGAGGAGAACTGGGTGAAAGTGTTGTGGTCAGATGAGACCAAAATGGAGCTCTTTGGCATCAACTCAACTCGCCGTGTTTGGAGGAGGAGGAATGCTGCCTATGACCCCAAGAACACCATCCCCACCGTCAAACATGGAGGTGGAAACATTATGCTTTGGGGGTGTTTTTCTGCTAAGGGGACAGCACAACTTCACTGCATCAAAGGGACGATGGACGGGGCCATGTACCGTCAAATCGTGGGTGAGAACCACCTTCCCTCAGCCAGGGCATTGTAAATGGGTCGTGGATGGGTATTCCAGCATGACAATGACCCAAAACACACGGCCAAGGCAACAAAGGAGTGGCTCAAGAATAACCACATTAAGGTCCTGGTGTGGCCTAGCCAGTCTCCAGACCTAAATCCCATAGAAAATCTGTAGAGGGAGCTGAAGGTTCGAGTTGCCAAACGTCAGCCTCGAAACCTTAATGACTTGGAGAAGATCTGCAAAGAGGAGTGGGACAAAATCCCTCCTGAGATGTGTGCAAACCTGGTGGCTAACTACAAGAAACGTCTGACTTCCTCTGTGATTGCCAACAAGGGTTTTGCCACCAAGTACTAAGTCATGTTTTGCAGAGGGGTCAAATACTTATTTCCCTCATTAAAATGCAAATCAATTTATAACATTTTTGACATGTGTTTTTCTGGATTTTTTTGTTGTTATTCTGTCTCTCACTGTTCAAATAAACCTACCATTAAAATTATAGACTGATAATTTCTTTGTCAGTGGGCAAACGTACAAAATCAACAGGGGATCAAAAACTTTTTTCCCTCACTGTATGTGCATCTTTATACTGAGAATCACTGATTAGCAGCTTAGTCCTGACAGGTGATTCATTAAGCCCTTCACCTGGGTGTGAAGTGTGTGTGTGTGTGTGTGTGTGTGCGTGCGTACATGTGTGTATGTGTTTGTGTGTGTGTATGAGAGAGCGAGAGAGAGAGAGAGAGAGACAGAGAAACAGAGAGAAAGATCTGTTTAAATGTCCATTTTACAGCATGTGTTACACTGTAAGGATGTAATTGCAGCGGCTGTCCCAATTATGTACCACTGCTCTCCCAGGAAATATCACAGCTGTATTATTATCATGTATTTGTTTTCCAGAATAAATAGACCCTGCACCTGGGGCATATATGTTTTTGGTATTTGATAGAGTGCCTTGACCAACACAGTCCCGCTTTAAATGACGTGCAGCTTCTAAAAGCTTCATAAAGCCTTCATAAACAATATATAAATGTGTCACAAATCATCTATAACCTTATGTCATGCTCTGTAAAGGGTTCATAAATGTGGCATAACTGTGTGACATAACCACCGATGTCACATGTGACATAGCCCACTATGTAAAATATGACATAAACATGTGCTATATAAAATGGTGGCATAAGCACTGCTTACTAAAGGCTTTATAAATCATATTAAATTGAGGCTTCACAAAGCATTTATAACCTTGTCATGCGTCTTGGAAGAGTATTGCAACACCAGGATAATGGACCACCCATACGTAAAAATGTATGCACGCATGACTGTAAGTCGCTTTGCATGAAAGCGTCTGCTAAATGGCATACATTATTTTACTCTAAAACGTTTCTAGGATGGCCAAACCTTGACCTCAACTTCCCCCAAAATGCTTTGCTGCAGGATGACACATGCTATAAAGTGCAGTCATGCACTGCAAACAAACGTTGGTAGGGCCTTTTAAAATATTTGTATTTATTTATTTGCCTAATTCGGTTTTTTTCTCCCAAATTCAGTTTTCTCAAATGTGTTTTCCCCCCAGTTTCTTTCACACTTTTTGAATAGAAAAAACACTAAATTGTTTTTTTTGTGTTCACAGCAACGCTTAAAACACATCAGGGGATAACTTTTGAGGGCTGGGAAAAATCTAAGAAACTTAGATTTTTGAGTGTAGTTACCCTTTAATTCAGTGCACATGTGGTGTTTCTGTAGAGCAGTAATCTCACATGTGATGGAGTTCGCAAATCAAATGCCCACTTGTAGTGCCACTGGACAGCGAAAAATTAGTAAGTTAACCTTTATTTATTGTAATTGAAATTAGTTTGTTAAGTGTTGAGTTATTTCAAATAATTTCGATGACTTCACTGCAATTTCTAGCTATACCAATAGCAGCATAAGATACCTAGCTAGCTATACCAATAAAACATTTTGCTAGCTATTAGGCTCAGCTAAATAAAAGTTTCCCATTTCCCCATTTAGAGTATTTCTTGCGCAGCACAGAAATGCCCTTATCCAGATGGTGTGACAAATGCATTTCCTAACAGACCTGCTAACTTTCTTTGTTGTTACTTTTAAGGTTGGAACCAACATGTAGTACCTCCAGCAGGGAGAGAGGCAATAACCATTGGTCCACCAGCTCAGGGACAATATACGCTATTCACAGCCCTATGTAATGTTCAATGTAATTGCATTGCTGGACTTTTTGAAACTTCATGTACAGTTGAAGTCGAAAATTTACATACACTTAGATTGGAGTCATTAAAACTAGTTTTTCAACCACTCCACAAATTTCTTGTTAACAAACTATAGTTTTAGCAAGTCGGTTAGGACATCTGCTTTTTGTATGACACAAGTAATTTTTCCAACAATTGTTTACACAGATTATTTCACTTATAATTCACTGTATCACAATTCCAGTGGGTCAGAAGTTTACATACACTAAGTTGACTGTGCCTTTAAACAGCTTGGAAAATTCCAGAAAATGATGTCATGGCTTTAGAAGCTTCTGATAGGCTAATTGAGTCAATTGGAGGTGTACCTGTGGATGTATTTCAAGGCCTACCTTCAAACTCAGTGCCTCTTTGCTTGACATCATGGGAAAATCAAAAGAAATCAGCCAAGACTTCAGAATTTTTTTTTTGACATCCACAAGTCTGGTTCATCCTTGGGAGCAATTTTCAAACGCCTGAAGGTACCACATTCATCTGTACAAACAATAGTACGCAAGTATAAACACCATGGGACCACGCAGCCGTCATACCGCTCAGGAAGGAGACGCGTTCTGTCTCCTAGAGATGAACGTACTTTGGTGCAAATCAATCCCAGAACAACAGCAAAGCACCTTGTGAAGATGCTGGAGGAAACAGGTTCAAAAGTATCTATATCCACAGTAAAACAAGTCCTATATCGACATAACCTGAAAGGCCGCTCAGCAAGGAAGAAGCCACTGCTCCAAAACCGCAATAAAAAAGCCAGACTACGGTTTGCAACTGCACATGGGGACAAAGATCTTACTTTTTGGAGAAATGTCCTCTGGTCTGATGAAACAAAAATATAATTGTTTGGCCATAATGACCATTGTTATGTTCGGAGAAAAAAGGGGGATGCTTGCAAGCCGAAGAACACCATCCCAACCGTGAAGCACGGGGGTGGCAGCATCATGCTGTGTGGGTGCTTTGCTGCAGGAGGGACTGGTGCACTTCACAAAATAGATGGCATCATGAGGAAGGAAAATGATGTGGATATATTGAAGCAACATCTCAAGACATCAGTCAGGAAGTTAAAGCTTGGTCGCAAATGGGTCTTCCAAATGGACAATGACCCCAAGCATACTTCCAAAGTTGTGGCAAAATGGCTTAAGGACAACAAAGCCAAGGTATTGGAGTGGCCATCACAAAGCCCTGACCTCAATCCTATAGAACATTTGTGGGCAGAACTG